GTATCAAATCAAACAAGCTGCACTCCTTCCTAACTTGTTAGTGGACATGAGATGGGTGGATGGGGCAAACCGAGTCACGCATGGTTGGTCTGCAGTCTTATACCTCACGTAACCGTTACAATTGGAGCCAACAACGGACGTCGCCAAACATAAGTGGTGGTGACGGTTACATATGAATGGGGATAGAGTGGGAGAACATGTGCTAAAGAGAAACGCCATTCTTAAATGTGACATCGTCTGTTTGCGTGTGTTCATCTAGTCCGACCACGTTTAGCACTGCACCACTTCTACTACTGCCATATCACATCCAGCTTAAATGCGCCGCGAAGACATTAAGAAGAACACGCAACTGTTCGCAGATGAAAAGTTGTCTGACTCCATTATCTCACCACGTCTTCCGAGTGGTGGCTGATAAGTGACCGAAGGAAATGCTGGCTGACGATGCACAGGCAAGAAGTTGGAGGCTGGAATCAGCCTGAGTAGTCGGATTCATCACGGGAACAAATAAGTCACTGGACGCGGGAATCCACATCAAGCGAAATTGGGGCAATTAAAAGGGGTAAGAAAAAGAAATGTCTGTCACTGTTATGTTGACAGTAAAACTGGATTCGCCCGAAACAACAGACTGTTGCAGGAGCGTTTTGGCGCAAATTGCAGTGTGTGCGAAACTAACTTATAACCTTACAACTCCGTCTGGCGGGGCTTTTAAACCGGTCTCCGCCTTTCATTGAACATTTTCACTTTATCTACTGCGAATATTTAAGTGTTGAATAAATAAATTGACATCTTTTTGTCCAAAGTAGTTCCAAGGTCACCAAGACCGTCTCACTTTCCATATGTTAAATACTAAGTAGAGCTACCGTGCAAGACTCGTGATTTGTTGCTTTTGACCACAATCGTTTAATCATGTTGAAATCATTTATGAAGAAATGCTTTCGTAAAACTCCATTCTCTCCGATGAAAATAACCCGAAGATTGTGTTTATCTATTTGCGCTTAGTGCCCCAGAATGCGAGTCCTTCTACTCCAGTGATATCAGGGCGCCCTGTGATGGTGGCTGAAACCGGGGGGGGGGGGGGGTCATCGTAATGCCGACGGACCGGGGCCAGTCAGACGAATGCCGAGCGCGCACGACTGGTCCGGCCAAATGCACAAGAGAAACAGTGTGATTTTCGACATATGAGAAGCGGATTGGCCAGCCGTATGGCCAGCGAGCTCATGCCGGAGTACACTTTAACGGCACAATGAAACAGGTAAAAATCTCAAGGCAATACTGCGTGCTAGTCTGAAGAGAGACCGCAAACGTGGTGGTCTCATTGTGACTCGGAGATGGAAACAGCCGCTGCCGTTGGTAATCATCGTAAGTTATTCCGTCTGAAACAAGAAACAGGCAGCAGGAGACCTGGTGTTAGCGAGACCATACGCGACGAGAGTGGACAGTCGATTCACAGCCTGTCGAAAGGTTTGGAGCGTTTGGTCGAACACTGCAAAGCAGTTTAACCAATCTGAGTTATCACTTTCTGGGCCATTGAGGGCCCATCGCCCTGGGCGGTCTCTTTGGAACCGCCCTCACGCGCAGAAGTGGAACGTGAGATCAAACTGTTGAAATCGCATAAAGCCGCAGGGACAGATAGATAGAATTCCCCCAGCTCTCTTCAAATTAAGGGGACCTACTTTAGTAGATGATTTACACTTGCTAGCAAAACTATGGGGGCAGGAAACTGTCCAAACAGACGAGGCGCTCCGTCACTGTCCCAATTTTTAAGAGAAGCTCCCGTTCGGAATGCGGCAATCATAGAGGGATCAGTCTGGTCTCAATTGCTAGAGTCTGTCGTTCTCCAAAGACTGACTGGCACTCATAAAAGCCAAATCCGTGAGGAGCAAGCAGGGTTGCGTCGAGGTCGAGGCTGCACTGATCACATCTTCACTTCATATCAATTGTTGGAGCACCGCCATGTTTATTGGCGACCCACCGTTGTCAGGTTTCTTGACAAGAAATGTGCCTTCAATTCAGTAGATCGATGTAATCTTTGGGACTGTCAGCTGAGGAAAGATGTCCGATAAATATGTAAACATTAACAGAGCGCTGTAAGCGCATCGTTCGGGCAGAGTGAGGGTTTATAGCAAATTGTCGCCGCGCTTAAGTCTCTCCAGCGCTGTGTGACAAGGTTGCCCGCTGTCACCTTTCCTCTTTAACTTCACCATTGACGAACCCATGGAAACTGCATTCGCTAGACATGACCTATATGTAGAGCTAGTTCCTGGTAAGCGACTTCTTGACTTGAAGTATGCGGACGATATTACCTAATCTGTGAAAGCTCCCAAACGTGCATGAGACCAATTAGCACTGGCTGTCTATCGTTTTGGGCTATGCTTTGCTCCATCGAAATTTAAAGACCTTCTCCAAGATTGGCAGGGACCAACCCATGCGTTGACGCTTGCTGGTGATCAGCTAGAAGTGGTTCAGGAATTCAAGTACCTGGGCAGTTACATTAGCACCCGTGGGATCAAAGACGAGATTAGGAACAGCATAGCAAAAGCTCGAGGTGTATTTGCCAATCTCCGCCACCTGTGGAGTAGACGTGACGTCACTCGCGCTCTGAAGGACAGAGTTTAGACTGCAGCCGTCCGTTCAAATCTCCTATACAGTTGTGAAACCTGGTCCATCAGGTCGGCAGACATGTTCGAGCGTCGCTGCTTTCGCAGCTTACCTCATGTCTGGTGGGAGCGCCGCATGAGCAATGAGCGTGTCCGGCGTCGTGCATTTGGTGCAGGGAGATCGATTGAACCGCTCAGCACCATTATATCATGTAAAAGGCTCTGATGGCTGAGCCACGTGTTGCGCATGCCAGCACACCGAATCCCGCGACGTGAATTGTGTGCGCGCCGGGTGTGATTGGAAGAGGAGGAGGGGAGGCCAAACGTTAACTTAGTCGAGAGAAATGAAAACCCTTACGTCGAAGCTGGCGTAGATTGGTGCATCCCGACTGTCTGGCTGGGGTTATAAGGACCATGAACACGTTTGGTTGGACACAATTGTTGACATGGCTAGGAGCCGAACCCAATGGCGTTTGTGTGGTGAGTTCCTTCGTCCATCCCTCGCCCTTTTAGATTCCCCCTCCCATTCCGATCTCATACAAAACGCATAATATAATATTTAACATAACATTACTTGCTTGGAATCTTTTTGTAGTGTAAATTCTAGTATCTTATCTTCCTGTATTGCGGCACATTAGCTGTGGTGTGTTTCTCACCTTCAACTACCGTGTATTGACCTGACCCGGTCTGTTTAACGGCACGCATCGCTGTGTCAGCCAGTCAGCCGAGAAATCATTAAGCTGATAGACGAATTGTAAATAAGACGCTAGTCGGGAGAGCTGAGCATGTAGAACGCATCCGGCCTAGCGCAATGACAGGACAGCACACCTCTGGAAAGCGGAAAAACAGATTGATCGGCCGTACAACGAACGGATGGGTCACGCGTACCTGTGGTAGGTAAACACTCGTGGGACTATCGACCAAATGAGCGGACGGCCAATCAGACGTCGACATGCAGTTTACCCGGGATAGCAATAACGAGGCTCAACGTAATCGTGGATCGGTCCATCGAGAATAAACAAGAATCCACTAGATGGAGCTAACGTTACAGGCCAGTCAACAAGGGCCAACTGATAAACGAACGACAGCAGAACACTTTATGTAGTCTATAAAAATCGTGATTATTTTTGATAGTGATTTCTGGTCGCCTCACAGACTCTGTTCTCGATTCCCGGAGGGCCACATAACAAACTCCTTTCTATTTTCTTTATCCATCTATAAAATTTTGCAATTGTGACGATGTCATTTTGCTTCATTCGCAGTTGATATTGCAAAGTGCTGAAAATGCACCCATTCGGGTATGTAAAGCTAACCTTGACTTGAATTGACACGCCTTCGATAAACGTAACAGAACAAGCATCTGTGAAGCGACGACCTTGCTGAGAACTGATGAACAGTACTGTGAGTTCACCAAGGTACTTGCATTGTGCGTTTCAGCTGTAACACTGCGCCCAAACGAGTAACGAATACTGACAGGTTATTTGTCGAAGAGGGTAAAGTTCTAGTGAGATAAGGAAATACTTGGCTTCGAACGGCCATGGATTAGTTTCTTCCAATTCTTTTGGCGACCATTGGAGATCCATTCATATTCCTACACACTGTAGGTGGCTGAGTGACTTCCCAATAAGGACCGGATTGGGCAGTGAGCAACACCAAGTTGTAGGTCGAGCTAGTATGTGCCGTCTAACGCTAAGAGAGGAGTGTGTATGTGACAAAGCTACTCATAAGAGTGGATAAAGACCATCAGAATGTCATCAGTGCATACCTTGAAGCTTAGTAGAAGTGGACGACGAGCTTTCGTCCGGGATCTAGAAAAAGATGTATTGGGATGTCGAAGAACGTTGGTATCGGGGTGGTGCGAGTCCACTAATGGCAATGAGATGTCGAATTTGGGGCGAATTCTTGAAGTGGAACAGCTGGCTTTGGCAATCATTGCGTGACCGACAGACATGAAAAATTGATCATCGCGATAGTTAGGCCAAGTGCCAGCATACAAGTTGAAGAGAAGATGATTTCGTCCGGGAAAGGATTGCAGTCCAATATCTGAAACATGGGTGAGAGATTCGAAGTGAACGTAGTTGCCCAGATAAAAAACATACGATAAGCCAAATGAAGGTATGCACAACGACTGAAAACCGGATGAGTTGGAGCAAACTGTTCCGAGAAAAAACTAACAGAGGACTGAATGGACTGAGGAAAAATGTATGCATGGTTCATTTCAATCTAACTAAAAAAGTATAGTGTGAGCAAAGAATTGCAGTGGTGATTCGCAAAGTCGTGATGGAATGGAATGTTGGAATCCCGAAAAAGAGCCGAAAAAAATAAAGTAATCTCATCACCACTGGTTTAAGATAGGATCGAACATCAGAGCATTCAATAACGAACAGCACGTAAACAAGGAGCAGACTTGAGATTCAAAAACGAAAAGAAAGGAAGCCGGAAACACCACCGATACCTAAATACAGAGAAATGTAATCACGACAGCTGGTGGCTACAGAAAACGCACCCAAACGAAAGTAATCAATCAACAACAGTAGTACATCAGCCATTTGAACTGATGCTTCGCTTCTGTACAACCATGAGGACCTGTGAAATAAAGAATAATAAGAGGAAGAAAAGCGGGACTTAACTGAAAACCTTAATGCCCTAAGCAAACATTAAAGGCCAAGGCGTCCACACGTCGTGTAGGTAACATACCATCGCAAACAGCTAGCCATAATGCAAAGATAAGGTGGCATCCGCGAGACAGCCTCCTTGCGGCTTTAACTGCCACGCGTCATAATCCGCCATTAACCCGCAGATAACTCAGTACCAAGCACACTTCAAACAAGCAATCCGATCAGGAGACGGCAGCAGACACGCCACTGGTGTCAGGTGGAGCCACGTCCTGTAACGTCTCGAGCCAAGCACACGGCGAGTCACGTGGACTCCAGCCCGGAAGACGAGACGGATCAACGGTACCCAGTTTGGTCGTCAGTGACTTCATTTCCCACTACCAAGTCAGCTTCTCTCCACCTCGAGCCTTGCGCCACTCTACACCTGGCAGACTAAACAAGGCCCTCCTAGGTATGCGGTGACCAGGCATACATAGCACGTGCCCGAGCCAACGCAACTTATTCAGTGCTATCTGTTGTTCTAGGGGGGCTAGCATGGTTATCACTACCTAGTACTCGCCTACGCACATCATCGTCGCGGACACGCTGGTGCCATCCGACAACAGCAATATTTTGCAGACAACGATGATCAAAGACTTAAAGGCGCCTCAGATCTTCAGACCGAAGGGGCCAAGTCTCACTCCCATAGAGCAGAACGGCCCTCACTGTATTCTTGCATACACGGCCCTTCAGACGAAGGGAAACCATCTTCTGTCGCCAAAGATACCGCAGATTCAAGCAGACACTTCTGGCCTTTGCAATACGTGAGCTGACGTTAGTTTCTATGCGCCCATCATTGCTGATGCAGCTGCCAACATAACTGAATCGATCAACCACTTCGAGTTCCTCGTTAGCAATGGTCAAAGGGCCACAAAGTTGCTGGTAGTCCTACAGCAACTTTTTGCACTTTGAAGGTGCAAAGTGCATACCAAATAATGAGACCACTCTAGACAGGCTATTCAGGGTTAATTGTACTGCCGCAACACCATCCAAAAGCAAGACGATATCGTCCGCATAATCAAGATCAAATAATCGTCCACCAGGAAGCATTTCAATGCCTACGTCGTGAGATTATGCAAGGGAACACTCCATGATAGAATCCATGACGAAATTGAACAAAAAATGAGGAAATCAGACAACGCTGACGAACGCCACTTGTAGTCGGAAAGCTATCCGATAGGTCACCGTAGACACTTACCCGGCATGTGGTGTTCGAGTATAGAGCACGTAGAATGTTCCCATGTTTCGTGGGAACACCCTTCCGCGAAAGAATTTCGAACAGAATGCATCGATCGATTGAGTCGAATGCACTCTTGAAATCAAGGAACACAGCTATTGTGGGTCTGCGGTATGCGTGGCGCTGCTATAGCACCTGCCGCAAAGTGAATAAAGGGTCTATACAGGCACGCCATGGACGGAAACTTGCCTGCTCTTCCCTAATCCGAGATTCGCGTTCCGAAGTGAGGCGACGAACGAGAATCGAGGCCAGTAATTTTGTCACAATTGGTGTTAGGATAATACCCCTGTGGTTAGAACAGTCTGTGCGACCGCCCTTCTTGTATACTGCCACTATAATCGATTCGCTCCAATCAGCCGGGACACCCCCTTCATTCCAGATGCGTTCGAATAGGGAGGTCAGTGCTTTGCAGAGGACCTCACCTCCATCCGGGTCAGCGGAAGGAAAACGATTGAAGGCCGTGATCGCAGTTCGGACCTCGGCCTCAGACGGAGGCTCTAAACTAACCGTCTATGACTCGTCCTGCATCACCTGAGTAGAAAGAGGTCGGGGAACAAGAGGACTGCTGAACTGATCTTGAAAGTGTTCCGCCAAACGAGCCATACGGCGCTCCTTATTGTGTATCTGTACACCCGCGCGGTCTCTGATTGTCTCACTGACGTCTACCTTCCTGGTACCAGTGATGCGGATAAACTGTAAGAGCTTGCGGCAATTGCCTACTGCTCCTGCCTCTTCTATTTCTTGAGCCAGAGTGGTCAACCTGGCTTCCTTGTCAGCACGTAGGCTCCGGTTTAGTTCGCGCCCACTAGCCCGTCAGGTCACAGTGTGCTTATAGCCAGACGGGAGGTTTCTTCTATATCCAAACAGGTTCACTGACCTCTCGGATATCCAGTGACTGGTGCGGTGACCATTGATAGTGCCACAAGCAGATGCCCCTGCGTCGTACATGGCGGCCAAGATCCTATTCCACTGAAGCAGAGTGGTATTAGAACAAGACAGTTCGGTACGCAGTGCGTCTTGATACGTTTGCCTGACTGAGTGATGAGACAATTTAGTTGAAAGCAGTTAGTTCCCTTCAACAATTTGAAAAGCGCGGCAAGAAGACGAAGGCTGGTAGATGCATGCATTTCGTGTCATCTCCTCAGTACCATTAACAATAATGGATATGCATAAATATAGCTAACAGTGGGTGCAACCAGACAAGCTTAAGGTGCAGAATGAATGACGGAAGTTCAAACCTACGTCCAAGGAAGATTTAGGCTGACAAATAATTGTTTCTGAACACACAAGACTGGCTTAATCCGGCTTATAGCGACAGCCTCAGCAAACCGAAGGAAGAGAGGATTAGTGTGACGTAACACAACATTAAACGCTGAGCCCAGCTCTATCTGGTGACCCGAGTCTTATGGGTGTTTGCCTATCGATGAAACCGGTGGTCTGCGCGAACATGGAATCTGACGAGAGTAGGCAATCTGAGCAACTTCAAGTTGAATCCATCTTGGCACATGTTTCTTTATTGGGGAAGTCAGCGCTCTATTAGTTCTGCCTATGTAACTGTTTCCGCGGTCATATATAAATTGGTATACACAGTGTGAGTTGGCCCCAATAAGCTGACCTCCCTTCGTTGGAGGTATGGGCAAATTTCGGGTTCGGTTGATGACGACAACTTATGCAGCATAGTAACTTCCTTGTGTAGCCGAAATTATACGCTTAGTTGTCTTCAGCGTGGCTAAGTCACCTTTAAAAGATAACTCGATATACACTTTCTTCTTGGCTGCCGTGTGCACCAAGTCCTTTGGCCCTCGCGGTTGGCAGTGTTTCTCGATAAATCTTCGAGTGTTGCTGTAGTTAACACTAGCTCATCGTCCAGACAGTCGGCCGAACAAATTCGTCTGGCATGACTAACTAGAGTCTCCACAAGTGTCCGTTTGTACTGCACTGGTGTGAAGCTAGTGAAGTGCAGGTACTGATCGGACCAAGTTGGTTTTCGGTAAATGGACCTCTTAATCAATCCATCATCCCTGCGACTTATGAGTATGTCCAGGTATGGCAGACAATTGTTCTGTTCTAGTTCGCATGTAACCCGTAAGTTAGCTTGAGCCCCATTGAGCCGTTCTACCAAATGTGTGAGCTGCTGCTCCGACGAACAGAAAGCCAAGATATCATTGACATATCGTTGGTAGTAGGTCACCTGGGCTATTTCCGTAGAAATGCTTCTTTCTACCATCAGCATGAAGAAATCAGCGAGCACAGGACCTAATGGGCCACCCATTGCTACGCCGTCAATCTGACGGTATGGTGTATACCGAAAGTGAAAATCCACATTCTCCGTGCACAATAGTAGAGATTCTCTTAGTAATTCAGTCGGAATTGGTAGCGAACAGCACACGTAATCAACCGTCTGATGTAACGGCACATTGGTAAATAAGGATTCTACATCCAAGTAACTTCTGACTATGTCTGACAGGTTGAGTTCATCCAGATCATCGACGAGTTGAAACGAGTCTTTAAGACTGTAGGAATTGAACTGTTCTTTCAGAGGAGATAGCAACTTCACTAACCAACGAGCGAGTTTATGCTGGGGCGCGTTCATCAATGAAAGGATTGGCCTGAGTGGCACTTCACTCTTGTCTTTGGAGACCTATACAACCGTGAAATAGTGCTACCACTCGGCTTCAAACTATTAAGTGTATCACAGTCTATCGTGCGGTGGAGGAGAAGCGATTCCAAGTGACGAACTATGCGCGTTTCGACACTGGTTATGTCCCCCACTTAGGTGAGCCATTCGAATTTACACGCATCGTTGATATGTCGCACATCTCACTGTATTCGGTTCTGTGCATGATTACCAATCCTGAACCTTTATATGGTTTCATTACGACTACGTCCTTAGCTCGTAGTTCACGTAAAGCCTGATAATGTCGAGCTGTGATGGCACATTTTTCATTAATGGGCATGGTTTTCACCTCATGGTCGATATCGGTTAACTTGTTTCTGAACCAAATATGCTTATCAAGGCTGATTGGTTGGAGCTCCTTAAACTGGTCAAAAAAGTTCTCAAATTCGGCTTCTATAAACAAGCCGTTCAACGTTCTAAAGGTGACTTTGTAATCAAGCCTAAGTGATAATGCTTCTAATTGCAACGCATCAAGTT